TTTTTTTTTTTTGGTACAGGGACTTTCCGGTTTCCGGATCCACAGGGGAACCGACTAATCCGGAATCGAGTCAGGTAGGACCACAAGGACGGAAAAGCTCTCCCTCAAGAGTTTTTAACACTGGTGCATTCTCAGGGCTCGAACACGAGACCACTGGTTAAGCTGGAAGAGACTCAAACCATCTCATCTAAGCGCTCTGGTTATTATATACAGCTTATTGAAGCTGGAATCCTTTACAGAATGTTGAAATTAAGAATCTATGACCAAAATCTATATATATATTAAAGCGGAACAGCTGGAAAAAAATTCTTTTTTCCCTCCAAAACTACATTTATTATATAGAAATAAATTTTGATAACTTCTATGTAATACAACAATAAACTTAATTAGTTTTTACAAAAACAAAAGAAAACACTTAATTATGTATATATATTTATTTACTTATTAAATAATTACTCTCCTATTCCCAAAGTTACATTTATTATACTTTTTTTAACTTTTATGTAACTCAACCATAAACATAATTAGTTTTTATAAAAAATATATAATTATAAATGTAATTAATTGTTAAAACTTTACTCTCATATTCTCAAGGCCAAGTAATTACACCTTCAATTATGTTGAAGTGGAAGACTAAATATATATTTTTTTCAATAACATAATTAGTTTTACAAATAAACACCTAATTATAAATATAATTATTTATTAAAAATTATTATCCTATTCTCAAAGTCAAATAATATCACTTCAATTTTGTGGATGGCCATATTAATTATTTTGGTCTTTAATATTTTCAAGGTAAATGAGAGTTCTTTTTTACATACTAGAATTTTTACTATTTTCTTCATAGTACTAACGTAGGACACAATCTCACTTAAATAAATATTGATAAAAATCATTTTTAGTTTTTAATTTAAAAGTAACATATATATATTACTATGGAGTACTTTGAGAAAATATTACTTTTCCTCCAACACTATTTATTAATCTCACACAAATTTTATTAATTCCTATGCATGGCCATTCAAGACATAATCATAATTATTTTTATAAATAATTACTTAAATATAAATATAATTATTTATTATGAATATATTCTAATTTTTAAGGCCAAATTACCAACCTTTTCAATTTTTTGGAGGATTGCACAAATCATTTTAGTCAATTTTCCACTTTTGATGGGTAAGTGCAAGTTTTTTTTTTTTTTTTNNNTTTTTTTTTTTTTTTTAATATAATCTTTTTTTTATTATTATAAACAATTAACATAATTTTATTTAATAATTATTGAAAACAATTTTAAATGAAAGTGTTTTTTAAAGTTATTTTTTTGGAACTCATGACAATAACTCATTTAGATCAATGTTGGGACAAAAAATCAAAATGAGATAAAACATTTATCTTTATTTTTCAGTTAGATTTAAGATTTTATGTCAGATTCAAATTGCAATATGTAAAAAATAATTAAAAATCAATTATATACAAAATTTAATTTTTTTATTTTTATTTTCGTTTTTTGTTGGTGTGAATTAGATATATTACACACATCAACTCAAATTAAGTAACATATCATCATCTTCTGTTAGTCTTTCCAGAGTTGGATAATTCAAGTAATACTGTTCAAACTATCGAACATATAAGGCTATAAAATTAAGAAGTAAGGGTATAATATCCAAGTTTGGGGTTGATATCGAAAATGATGGTTTTTTAACGTGAAGGTATAATATTCAAGTTTGTGGTTATTATCGAAAATAATGTTTTATTAACGTGAATAAATAATGTACTAACTCACTTAGGCTTAGTGTACCTAAATTTATGGAAAATGTTAAATCAAGATAAAAA